AAAAAAAAAAACATTTAGCACTGTGCCTGGCAAAAGCAATGAACAAATAGAAGGTAGTAATTATATGACATAAGGTGATTAAAATACCAAGTTATTCATTAACAATGGGCAACTGTGGTCATTTCCACATCCTCCCAGTAATAACACTGATACCTGACATTTGATCATAACTAGGATACCTCATATATAATGTTATTTTAATTATAGACTACAATATGCAATGTGTACATGTAGTTACCAGATAGTGTCCACCAAAGAAATCTGTATTCACTCAAATCTAATAAGTAGTCCATAGATGTTAACTCCTCCCCTGTAAATCAGATTGTTAACTTGGGTGATGTTGACTTGGAAGACATTTAGCATATCAAGATTGGGCTGCATTGCCTGGCAAAGTGATACATTATGCACAATTGTCCTTGAATCTTCTCATTCTTTTAGCAAACTATATGTATAATAAAAGACCTGAATAAAACTGAGAAGCCATATGAAACAGTATTATCACTACAAGAAAGATCTGATTCAGTGCAAATGCTAACCCTGCTATGAAGCAAATGACTGTAAGACTTCAGGCTAGATGTTAGATGTGCCATGTAGTTTCCGGAAGCATAGCCTGAAGCAGACTCCCTCTAGAATTCTTGCTCCTGCATGATTAGCTTACAACCTCAGATAATTGACTGATTCAATCCCTCAGAGTTCCTCAATTTGCTCCTTTGAAAAATGTGGGTGATAAGACAGCTAGCAGTTCAGTGTCACTTTGAGAATATTAAATGTGCTAATCAAGTCTGAAATACTTGAAACAGTACCTGATACATACTAAGCACTCCAATCTTGCTTGTATTATAGTGGTGGAGCAGTTAAGGCTTGAGAGAGGTGTTCTTTGCAGTTGTCCTGAATACCCCATATCTTTACTTTATTATAGTCGGGTGAATCTTTGTCTTTTTTTAAGGATGCCTCAACTGATCCTGTCAGAGTGCTCAGCTGGCTCCGCAGAGACCTGGAAAAAAGTACAGCAGGGTTCCAAGATGTTCAGTTCAAGCCTGGAGAGTCACCAGTTGGTGGAGAAGTGACCACTAGTTCAGGAGACCCTCGCAAGACATTCACCGTGGACTATTGTAACACGACCAATAAGGGTAATCCAGGGAGACTGCACTTTGAAATGAGTCACAAAGAGAACCCACCCCAGGCCCAAGTCGCGAATGGGAGTTCAGTAGATGAAGTTTCCTTCTATGCCAACCGCCTCACAAATCTAGTCATAGCCATGGCACGAAAGGAGATCAATGAAAAGATAGACGGCTCTGAAAACAAATGCATCCATCAATCACTGTACGTGGGAAATGACCCCCCGCCCACCAAAAGCCTGAGTACAGTGGCATCAGACCTGGTCAACGAGACCGTCTCTACATGTTCCAAGACTGTTGCTGCCTCTGATAAAGCTCCTGGCTCTGGTGACAGAGCCTTGGGGTCATTACGGAGTCCCCCCAACCTGAGATACAAGACCACTTTGAAGATGAAGGAGAGCACCAAGGAAGGCCAGGGTCCAGATGATAAACCTGCTTCTAAGAAGTCTTTTTTCTACAAGGAAGTGTTTGAATCACGGAATGCCGGTGATGCCAGAGAGGGTGGACGGTCAGCCTTCCCTGCAGAAAAGAGGCTATTCAGAGGGTATGAACGTCCCGATGATTTTACAGCTTCTGTCAGTCAAGGGATCATGACCTATGCCAACAGCGTGGTCTCTGATATGATGGTCTCCATCATGAAAACACTGAAGATCCAAGTAAAAGACACAACCATTGCCACCATCTTGCTTAAGAAGGTATTGATTAAGCATGCAAAGGAGGTGGTCTCAGATCTCATAGATTCCTTCATGAAGAACCTCCACAATGTCACAGGGACACTCATGACCGATACAGACTTTGTTTCCGCTGTGAAAAGAAGTCTTTTCTCTCATGGAAGCCAAAAGGCCACAGATATCATGGACGCCATGCTGGGTAAGCTGTACACTGTGATGTTTGTTAAGAAACCTGACGATTCAAAAAACAAGGACAAGTTTGAGAGTTATTCCCTTGTCTCCATGAAAGGAATGGGTGACCCTAAAAGCCGAAATGTGAACTTTGCAACAATGAAATCTGAAGGTAAATGGAGGGAAAAAATGTGTATACCTGTATGCAAGTCAGAGAAAGAGAAGAGTTGCGTTGAAACTGTAGGTGAACACATTATCAAAGAGGGACTGGCCATGTGGCATAAGAATCAACAAAGAGAAGGAAAATCTCCAGACTTCCAGGGTGCCACGTTCGCAACTCCCAACAAACAGTATAAGCCTGCACCAGACATTCCATTGGGTGTTCCCCTGGATACTTGCAACTTCAGCCCTCCTCTGCAGCACCCAGAGAAACTTGAGAATTTTATGTGTGACTCAGACTCCTGGGCAAAGGACCTAATTGTTTCTGCTTTACTTCTCATTCAGTACCACCTGGCCCAGGGAGGAAGCCTGGATGCACAGAGTTTCCTTGAAGCTGCCAGCACCACCAACTTTACCCCCAAACCCCCTCTAGTTTCTGAAGAGTTCAGCCGTAAATCTCCTCATGTAGGAGGTGACCAACCAACAACAGAAAAGAAGGATCTAATGAGCGGTTTTTTCAACCTTATTCGGAATTTACTCAGTGAGACCATTTTCAAGAATGACCGTAGCTCTGATAAGATTCCAGAACAGCCAGTTAAGGAAGATAGGCAACAGTGTGAAAGATCTGTTACCCCCTCTCCCATCAAACTCTGCGAAGGTGATGAAGTTGGTGGTACCTTAGCTGGGTTAACCAAGGCAGTCGCCAACCAGCTGGATGGTCACATGAATGGACAAATGATAGAACATCTGATGGACTCAGTGATGAAATTGTGTCTCATTATTGCCAAGTCCTGTGACTCTCCCTTAGCAGAGCTGGGAGATGATAAGTGTGGGGATGTCAGCAGGCCAACTTCATCCCTACCAGATAATTTATATGAATGTTTCCCAGTCAAGGGCACGGGGACAGCGGAGGCTTTCTTGCAAAATGCCTATCAAGCTATCCATAATGAATTGAGAGGTGTATCAGGACAGCCCCCTGAAGGCTGCTCAATCCCCAAAGTGATTGTCAGCAATCACAACCTAACTGACACAGTCCAGAACAAGCAACTCCAAGCTGTACTTCAATGGGTAGCTGCCTCTGAGCTCAATGTCCCTATTTTGTACTTTGCTGGTGATGATGAAGGAATCCAGGAAAAGGTAAGGAGGTAGAGTCAGGGGAATTTGGAAAGCTTAAGTGTTCTGTTTTCTTTCTGAAAGGGAGGGTCGTTCCAAAAGGGTAGAATGGGTCAGTAAGAATTTGAAGATCCTGCCTCTTGGCAGGGGAATGGTTAAAGGGATATTAGATTTTTGTCCAATAAGAAGTTGATGACAGGGGAACAAAGAGGTGTTTATCTCATTTTCCTCATTTCTGCACATTTGGAGTGCACAGATGAGAGACTTGGTGAAAGAAACAGTTAAGTCTGGGCTTTTGAATGAATTTTGGATAGTACAGCATTATCCAAAGAATGAGGAGGAGCTGCTTGCTGGGAAGCACCCAGGTTGTGTTGAGAGGGATACACACATAGCAACTAGCAGAGGGACTCTCTTCAAGATCTTTGGACTGATGAAAAGTGGGAAAAGAGGTGTATTTCTCATGCATCTGATATATGAAACAGGTTCTTGTTCTGCTAGCCATCCTTTAAGTCAAGCCCATCATCCATACCAACCCATACATTCTGGTTCTAAATAGTTTTGAGTAACATTGCATTGATCTACTCATCTGAAATAAGGACAATCAGCTTGTAGACCCCCACACATATGTGTCCATACATGTTCCCATACATGTTCCCATACATGTTCCCATACACCTTTGTCCAAGGTAAGGACAAAGATGATCACCATAATTTATTCATGGAAAAGAGCAAAAGAAGTACACCCAGACTTCAACTAATGAATAGAATTGCACTGAACAAAAGTATGTTTTTAAGAACCGTTGGCTGAAACATATACAACAAAGAAACTACTTAAAAATTATCTGAAAATTTTTTTTTTGGAAAGAGATTTTATTGACATATATAAATGTTCTCAGGTTGATGCAGGTGGTTGAACCCAGTAACACTGGACTGTCCATGAACCAATTCTTTTAAACAGATTTGTATGATTTTTGAATAAGCAATGCAATATTGCATAGTTCAGAATCAAAAAGTAGCATAGTGAAAAATAAGGGTTGTATCTGATCCTTATCTCCCATCCTGTTGTCCTCCCTGGAAAAAAATATTCTAACCAATTGCTTGTTTGTCCTTCCAGAAATACATGTACATAAAATTAGATTGCATATTTCTTTTTTTAAGTCATATATGGTAATACGATAAATATGTATGTATGTAGAGTCCAATTTTAGCTATATCTCTATGGAACTTACGTGTGTATATACATACCTATAATAATATATCCAATCGTTGTTACATTGAGCAATGTTGTATACACAGAACAAATGCATCTATATGTGTTAAATAACTGGGAAAAGAATTTTAAAGTTATATTTGAGATGGATTTCTGAGTTGTCTTTCAAAGAACTTATACCAATTTGCATGCCTATTAAAAAAACAAAGGAGTGTCTATTTACTATATTTTAACCAACCGTAAATTTCGAATTTGCGATCTTTGCTAAATGTTGGCCTACTTTGCATATTTGTCTTATTAAGAATGAGAGTGAATATCTTTTCATGTGTTTATGAGCATTTTGAATTTCCTTTTTCATGAATGATTTTCTCACAACTTCTACCCTTTTTCTGTTGCATTGTTGGTCTTTTTCTTATTAACTTGTAAAATGTATGTACATGCATATAAGGAAATCAGTCTTTGTGATAGTAAATATATTTTTTTGTTGTTGCTGGTCTTTTTGTTGGTATTTTGGTTTGGTTTTGCAATACAGAAGTTTTTAAATGTTTGTGCTGATGAGTCTAAGACTTTTTTGGGGGGGAGAGGGTTTGTGCCACATTTGGCAAATTCTGTTAACAGAACTTTCCTATGTTTTCTTCTACCACTTTTATATTGATTTATATCTTAAATATTAAGTTATTTAAATATTTAAGATACATTTCAATCCGATCCATTTTGAATGAATTTTTATATAAAATATGAGGTAGGGATGCAAGCTGTCTTTTCCAGATAGCTATGTCTCTGGTGCTTTTCCTGAACTTCCTCTTCTGTTCCAGTGAATTCTTCTATTCTTAATATTTTAATACCATACTATTTTAATCACTATCATTCTATGATGTGTTTTATATCTGATAAGACTATACAATCCAATTTCTTTATTATCTCAGAATTTCCTAGGCTACATTTCAGTGCCCCCAGCCACAAGCAGTCAATTAGCTGTTTTTTGTCACCATAGATTGCTTTTTGTCCCAACATTCTATATTACAGTCATAAAATGTGTGATCTTTTACATTTGATTCTTCACACAGCATAAGATTTTTGAGGTTCATCCATGTTGTAATATGTATCAGTATTCAGTCCTGTGTATTGATGAAAAGTATTTCATTACCGGTATATACTACATTTTGTTTATCCATTCACCCGTTAATAGACATATGAGTTGTTTCCAGTCTATGCTATTACGAATAATATTACTGTGAACACTCACTCACATACTTTCATTTCTCTTGACAACAAGGAGAATCTTATGGTAAATATAATTTTTTAAAAAAATGTTCTCCAAAATGACTCTGCCATTTTACCTTCCCACCAGCAAATGTGGGAAGGGTTTCAAATTCTCCACATCCTTCCCAACATTCGTCTTGGTTTTATTATAGTTATTAGTGGTCTTCTTTGTGAATTAATTTGGTAGCCATACATTCAAATATCTAAGGGTATTGACTATCTTATGTATTCATATGTTTTCTTTGGTGAGCTATTAAGTCATTTACCCATATTTTGACTGGATTTTTTTTCTAGTTATAAATTTACAATAAGTTATTTATACATTCTGGCTCCAGGACCTTTGCCATATACATAATTTGCAAATATTTTCTCTCAATTTGTGAGTTGTCTTTTTACTTAGCATGAATATTTTCAGAAAGCAAAGTTTTGAGTGATAACATCTAGCTTATTTTTTGCTGATTGCTTATGTTTTTAATGACATAACTAATAAATCTTTGCTGAAGTCAGCAGGTCTCACTAGAGGAAGTTTTGCTCTCAAGGGACATTTGGCAATCTCTAGTGACATATTTTGTTATCTCAGCTGGGAGCAGGTTTGTTACTGGAGTCTAGTGGTCAGAGGTTCTCTTCTGCTACCAAACATGGAAGGCCCCATGGCAGAGATCTGCCTGGTAAGGTCGGAAGAGCCCGACATGCAATACTGTGACTTATCCAGAAGTCATATTATCCTTCTAAATATTTCTTCTAAATATTTGATAATTTCAGACCATTTCAATTCATTTTTTGTGTGTATGACATGAGGAAGGTGTCATTTTCATATTGTTTAATTTATTTTAGCTTTCCTTCCTGCATTTTTTGTATTCCATTTTATCTATTGTTTTTGATCATAGCTTTGTATAGTTACTTTAGTGATTTCTCTAAGGACTGTGATATACTCAGCTTTGCAGAGTGTACTCTGTGCTGTGAATCAGTAGTTATCACTTACATTGGAGAGTAGAAATATTGCTACCTTAGAGTTCCCTTTACCCTCCCCCACTTGGGCTGCAGTTATTTTATGTATTTATTCTTCAGAGAGAAAAAAACTTTAGCCAATGTTATTTTGACTTCCAATCATGATATATATATTTTTTCAATCATGATATATTTTAAAGAACTGAAGAGAACAGTCTTTGCGGTTCTTTATTTCTAATGCTCTCAGTTTCCTTCTGATATTTTTCTTTTGTCTGAACGGCTAGAACACATTTTCTAGCAATAAATTCTCTAATTTCCCTAAATTTGAATACTTATTCATTTGACCTTCATTCCTGAAATATGTTTTTGCTGGCTATAGATGATGGCTTTAACCAGATTTTTAGTGCTTAAAAAATGTATGTCACTTCCTCTGGCCTTCATGGCTTCTGACAAGAAATCTGCTGTCATTCAAATTGCTGTTCCTTTGTAAATAACATGTGCCTTTTCCTCTGGCTGTCTTGGGGGTTTTGTTTTTACTTTTTATTGTTCGGCAACTTGACTATGACAGGTTTTGAAGTAAATTTCTCTGGATTTGTCATTTAGGTTCACTGAGCTTTTATTTAAAAAACAGCTGTTGAGCTGTTTGGTTTTTTTTCTATGATATTGTTGCAATGTTTAATCAAGTGTATGTCATTCAGTGTGGTGAATTTCTGTTGATCTGTCTTCAAGTTCACCAACTTTCCTCTGATATTGCCATATTTAGCTTATCCAATACATTTTAATTGGGGACTTTATATTCTTTAGTTCTAAAATGTCTATATGGTTCTTCTTATCTTTTCTTGCTAAAATTTTCTATCGTTGCTCTTTTCACCAGTAACTGCATGTACTTCAGTTTCTTGCATGGAAATGTCTCCTTCAACGGTTTAGCCCTTCAACTCTTCATCATAGAATTTGAGTGCAGAATACACCAAATAGACATCTGGCTACTTCAGATGGTTGCAGCTAGATTCCAGATGAATGGCGATGTGCTCTGCTCATATTAGAATGGTAGCTTTGACCAATTTTTTTCATGCAGTGTTTGGAAAGAGAAGTAAGCAAATTTCAGAGACAGGGGAATGAATTCTGCCTCTGCTGTTGTCTGTAGCTGCTTCTCACTGACAGGTCGCTTTCCCTCTCTGGGCACCATTTTCCTGGTGGCTGAATGGGACAGTCTAAACAGCTGGTCTTTGGACCATGGAAAACAGCTTCCACATCTGTCTTTTGGCTCTTTCCCTCTTGCCCCTGCTTGTCTGAGACAATGATGGTGAGTTTTATGACACTGTAGTGAGCTTAAGAACTTTAGAATTCTTAGACAGCAAGAACACATTGGTCAGGCACCCAGTAGAAGCAGGAAGGTTTTACTATTAGGTAACTAATATTAATAATATCCGTGGGAAGTCATGTCTTCCAGAACATGAACAGGGAACTGTTAGCCTCTCCTTTACAACAAGGCGGAAGAGAGCCAACTTTCTTCGGTGGAATAGATCAGGAAGTCTTCTCCACACCTCCTCTACTTACTGCCTCAGTTTCCCAAAGACTTTCCCGGTCTCTCTGCTCTAGCCCGGGCTGCCCGTCTCGGCCTTCTGTGGGATGTTCTGTCCTTCACTGCTGCTTGGTTTCCTTTCACAGCTACTTCAGCTCTCGGCTGCCGCGGTGGAGAAAGGCCGCAGCGTGGGGGAGGTGCTGCAGTCCGTACTGCGCTATGAGAAGGAGAGACAGCTGGACGAGGCGGTGGGCAACGTCACGCGGCTGCAGCTGCTGGACTGGCTGATGGTCAACCTGTGACCGGCCGCCCGCCACTTCCCCTCTCCCGGCCGCCTGCCTTCTTTCTCACCTCCACACTCCCCCTCCATATCCTCACAGAGCCCTAACATTATCTACCTACCACTCACGTCGAAAAAATGTCATCGTATGCTAGTCACTGGATTTTGCAGATTTTCCTGTCCATGCGAGCAAGGACGAAAAATTAAAAAATTACAATTAAAGGGCTCCAGGTGTTTCGTTTCCTTGGTTCAAAGGGACACGCAGAAAAAAATATCTCAGGGATGAAAAATAACCATATGACTAGCAGAAGAAAGAGTGTTGGGCTGAGAGGCCGATCAAAGACTGCAGTCCGATTCTCTACACATTTTCTCTCACCCCTCAGCCCCACAGCTCTCCTATTCCACAGTGTGTCCACAAAAGCCTGCTTATGTTAAAAGTCAGCCTTTTATAATCATGCAACAGGAAAGGTTTTCTGATAGCCAGCTTAAATCATTTGGAGTATGATATTTTTGTTCTCTCTGTTAAACTACAGAATTACTGTCCACCTCAACTCTATTCGTGATTAAAGATAGTTGGTGTCAAAAAGGTCCAAAATACCTGCTTCCCAATGCACCTACTATCTGTAGAACCTGGGACAAGTTCTCCCTTTAAGGATTTTTTTTCTGGGTTTCTACATCTCTTGAAGATGCCACTCGATTCCATCAACCTGTACATATTTATTCCTCCTAGGACTGTCTCGACCATTATGTGAATGTTTATCCTCTTCTCTGGGCAATGTCACCTAAACCTGTAGCTTTGGCTACCTGGCATCTCCCCTCATGAGATATTACACAGGAATGAAAGTGAAAATTATGAACCTGGTATATTTTCACTTCTTTGTGAAGTTATGATCTTAGTACAGATAGAATTTTTATAAGAAACTTAAGATCAACTGTACAGCAATCACATAGTCATGTTGATACAAGTTAGAATGGCAAATACATCAATGGATATGATTAGATTAGGGGCAGCGGGTGAGTACACACATCTCTTGTTTATCGACTTTCCTTCTTTTGGGAAGCCCTCTGTCCCCCCAACTCCATGGACACTGCTATCAGGTATGGACATCTGTGGTCATCTTAACTCTGGCAGGGCTGTTCGTCACTATAATGTCACCATGTAAAGAAGCAAAGAGGGGCCCTCCCTGGTGGTGCAGCGGGTTAAAGCACAGCACTGAGAATCTAAAAGCCGCTTCCACATGAGTTCGATTCCCGCCTGCCCCGGAGGTGACCACATGGCGCGGCAGACCTCTCCTGACCCGCCCGCTGCTTCCCTCAGCAGTGTACTTCGTTGATCTGCCTGTTCTGTTCCCCACTCTGTCTCTGGTGAAGCTTCTCGCCACCCCTGAGCCTCTGGCCTGTACCCAGTTCTGTATGCACAAATAAATAAAAATTCTTTAAAAAAAATAAAAAAGAAGAAGAAGAAGCAAAGAGGGAATTTGAGTCTTGAGACCCTATTTGAATTTCAAGAGGCTGCTGTGTGTGAAACTACTCTTGACCCACCCCACACCATCTCCCCAATTATATAAACCAGTGTCCTGTGCTGTTTAAATTAGTTTGATTTCAGCTTCTATAAATTTCAAGCAAGAATCCTGACATAGTTGTCTTGGATAAGAAGAAAATTTTATTTAGAGTTCTACTAGTAATATTTTAACATTGAATGGTTGAAAACAGCCCCCACCAAACATACACCCATGTTTTATCTGGTGGGAGGTATGAGGAGGGAGTGAAGGATACCCTCTTATCCCTCATCTAAGAGGAATCATGCCAACTGGCCATGTGAAGAGGTTTTTTTAAAACAAGCCTTTATGAATTAAAAAACAACAATCTGAACTATGGTACAATATAAGTGCTGTCTCTAATACAAATCATTGGTGGAAAGAAAGAGGACACACCCTCATCAAAGGTCATACAAGAAGTGGTAAAGTGTTTGAGTTCCTGGAGGAGGAGCTCTTGCCTTATTGATCTGTGGGGGGCTTGGACTCCTCTGGCCTGATGGCTGCCTCTGGCTTTCTGGAAGCTTCTACCAGATGAGGCAGCTGGACAGCTTCCGCTGTGCATTGAAGAGAGCCTTGTTGGTCACCATGCTTGGGGCTATCATCTTTTACGTTAGTGGTAGTCTCTTCTATATTGATCACATCTGCCAGGAGACAGAAGAAACAAGAATTCAAATGCTAGTTGTTCCAACAGTCCAATTGTCCACTAGCTTAGGGCACAGTCTATGTTCTGGGCTTCATTCTCGGCACATCACACTAATTCATTTGGTGGTTTTTAGCAACCATTTCTTTAGAAATGAAGCAAATGAGGTGAAGTAAATGGCAGAGACAGAATTTAATCCATGGAAATCTGATTTCCATCACTATGAAAGAAATTAAAGACAGGAGAGAGATGGCAACATGAAATGATAAAGGGGAAACAAAGAGGAGAATCTAACTAGAACCACACTTCTGAAAGAACAGAATTTCCAAATTAAGAAATGATAAGCTGCTGCTAGTGGTATATTCAGAATAATTATTCAAGGTTGAGTTCAGAGAAATTGGCATGCAAATCATCCAGAGATGTCTGACTTATGGACTATGGACATAGGACTGTTTGTTGAGGAGCTTACCTTTTTTATCCTTCTTTGACTCAGAAGGGAAATAAAGGCTGGATTTTCTCAGGATTTGGGGCCTAGGTCGTGGCTTGAGGGTCCGTGGCTCATGAATCCAAGCATGTTTAAGGGCTTGGTCCGGGGTCATGCGGAGAGAAGGTTCCCACCTACACCAACAGAGTCAAAAGTGAGTTATTGTTTTACTTCCTTTGTTTATAATGAAACATTTTCAAAGACCCATTTTAAAAATAGTTAATTTTTAAGGAACCCATTTAAACTATGTTGCAATACAAAGATATCAACACAGAATAGATTAAAACCTGTAAATTTAAATTACCTGGAAACAACTATTGGAAATAATCTCTTACAAAAATTTGTATGGCAAATCAAGGAATGTATTCAAATCCAAGTCTTACAGAGTTTCTAGAAATTTCTTTACAGGAAATATAAAAAAATCTCAACCAATAAGATTTAGGGTTCTGTTAACTTAGGTCAAAACAAAGATGCTTAATTTCAGTTTCTAAATTACAGAATTTGAGCCTCAATAACAAAGAACATTATAGAATGCTAGAGTAGTAGGATTATCAGGAACTTAGATATAATCCAAATTTCTAACTCAGTAACAAAATACATCTGTCAGATCCCTCAATATTGATCCTCCTGCTATTCCTGAGTAATTTTAGTGACCAGATACTAACAGAACCAGCTATTCCAATTTTTAAAAGCACCAATTCTTTAAAAGTTCACTTCTATTGAGCTAAAATTCATGTCCCAGGAACTTCTACCCTAGTAACTTAGAGTCACATCCAAAGTCTACTCATTGGCATTATATAGAATGAGACAACCTCCCTTTTATGGCACAATCCTTTATATGAAATCATTTACATTGCTATGAATCATTGATCACATGATATAATTGTACCTTCCAGGATAGGAAAATTCAATGGTTGTTTAGTGTCTTTCATATTGAGAATAAGAGGCATTAATAATCTAAAGTCATCAAAGTCATAATTCAAACTCCCAGTTCTTTGCCAAATAAAACTGTTTTGAAAATATATCTCCCCTCTCCTGAACTTCTAGAGCTAGCCTCTAAAACCTAAGTATAGTACTTTAATTGATCTCTATTAAGTTTGACTCAAAGCCTTTACTCTCATTCCAAAATTTGCTAATTGGAGAATGATGGAATGAGAAGGTAATAATCTCAACAGGTGGCCTTTCAAATTGTGAGCAGCAAGCTCTTTACACTAACAAACAAATTTTCCTTCTTAGTTTTGAGCTGTGTTCTGTATGATTGAAGCTTCTGGATAACTCATCTGTCTCAGTAGTAAGTTTCTGTCATTTGTAAGTGCATATTCATTCTATAGCTTCAGCAGGAGGCTGGGGGGGGGGAGGGGAAGGGGTATAGGATCCTCTGAACTAATACCTAGATTCCAGGGTACACAAATGTTAGAAAAATATTTTTCTAAAACTATTGTATTCTATTGGAAGGATGAGAGAACATAAAGATAAGTACTTCTAGAAATACAGAACAACCATCATAGGACTGATATAGCTGAAAGGGACCTTAGGAATCCCTCATTTTAGGAAACTGAACACAGAAACACTGAATTGCCAAATATAAAGTGGCTCATCTGTTTGTCACCCAATGGAGACAGTCTTGCAAACCCTCTTGTAAAACAGTGACAAAAGCTAACATTTCCTAAACACCTTCCCAAATCAGCAGTGTCCTGGGTCCTTGACGTGATCATCCTTGTTTACTGTGACTGACTGAAGAACAGAACCTAATTTCTAAAATTCAAAATGTGCAAATAATGTCTAAAAACTATTCAGAATAAATGGTTTACAGATCATCCTTTACCTAGTTCTAAATCCTAGGGGGACAGAGTGGGACCCTGAAATCAGCTAGGGCTGTGTGCAGATGGTTACAACAAGCACGTTGGAGAGTTCGTGGATTAAGACTTTTAGAATGTGCCTACACCCCTACCTGCCAGTTTGCGGCCATGAAAAAGTCAAGCTCTACCCATACACTAGGGAATCCAGGCAAGTCATTTATTTACTTGAGCCTCACTATTCAAAACAGATTCAATTATCCACCCTGCCCACCCCATAGGAGAGAGAGAAAGCAGTCTGGAGAGGCAGCAGATAGGAAAAACATTTTGTAGGCGCTAAAGGCTCTATGACCCAGTTGTTACTAGTGTTGTTTTAAATAAAGTGTCTCCCAGCCCCAGACTTTCACCAGCCAGTGTAAGAAAGTACATATTTTATGAGGAAGCCCAGAGACAAAGAGACTCCAATAAACTCACACCAAACACCTTCTGAGAAAGTCCAGGAAGCTGCTGTCATAGGTTTTCAGCACCATCGTGAGATCCTTGGAATCCGGGTATCTTTTTTTCCCCCTGTTGTTGGTTATATTTTTAGGAACACCTTTGGAATCTTTAGAGATACAACATTCTGTGTTTAGTTCCAGGTGTAAATATTCGTAAGTCATATCACAGTTGCTCATTCAACCACGCTGCTTTTTCAAGTAGCTTTTGTAACTATCTACTGTTCTCCCCACTGCTTTCACAACCACATCCATCAGTCTGAAATAACCACACACGGATTATCCAATGAAGACAATTAACTTTGATGAACAACTTTTCCTGCTATTCAGTGTGTTCTGGGCTTTCTTTCCACTACCTCCTCCCTGAAGCAATGAAAGGGCTTAACATTAACTAAAGTAAAAAAGGAGTGATGGTAGTAAATGAAATAAAAAAAATGAGGTGATAATCAAATCTGAAGTGACAAAAAAATACTTCACTCTGACCAAAAAAGACATCATCCATACTTGGATTAGCTATGTCTTTGATCCTTTCCCACTAACCCTGGCTTTGAGACAGCCATGGGGTAGTATAAGTCATTTGAGGAGAAACTTTATGAGATATTTTCTGAACTCCTTACAAGTCACAAGTTCTGGGCCTCCCTGGTGGCCTAGGGTTAAAGTCTTAATGCTGTTATCTCTCCAGCCAAGGAGCTGACCCACATGGCGCAGCAGACTTCTCTTTTCTCAGCTGCTGCCCCCTTCAGCAGTATATTTCAGTGGATCTGCCTGTTCTGCTCCCCACTCTGTTTCTGATGAATCCTCTCACCTGCCACACCTCTGGCCTACACCCAACTTCCTCTATTTTAAATAAATAAATCCTTTTTAAAAAAAAGTCACACAAATTAATCTCATTACTTCTTTACAATTGTATTAAAATTTTGACCTTAATTGGAATGATCAGACTTGGTTGGTTGGTGAAGACTCAGCTTGGAATGACTTTGTTCAACCATTTCCACTGCTAAGAGCCCTTACCAAATGTCTGAAATGAGGCCCTGAAGGTAGTTTCAAAGTGTACCTAAGAGTGCTTCGTGCAGTACTCTGAAGGGAGACCCCTTTGGAATATAAATTTGCGGTTGTCCTGATCAGATAAAGTCTGGGAAATACTGAAGTGGATGTAACTCCCAGAAAATTCCTTCTTTATATAGGAAGTGAAGATATAAAGATGTTGCTTCCAAAACCCTATCACCATTCTAAAGCCTGATGCTGGCAGTAAAAATCAGACACTATGAAACACATCTGTGTGTCACCTGTCTTTGATTTGCTTTTCCCAAGATGCCCTATACTCCAGTCCTTTCAGTCCCCACCCAAACTCTCTTGAGTTTAGTATTCTAAGCTTATGATGTGACTTTCTCTAATGGGAGGGAACACCAGCATCCCAACTTTTCTTTCCCAAATCCTTCAAAATCCAAAAGACTAAATTATAAGTGATGGGTGGGATAGTAAATATGGAGTCAAAAGACCAGCTTGTTGCTTCATGTTTAAGTCTGACCCTGAGTGCCCAGCTCCTTTGCCCACCAGCAGACTGCTCTAGAAGAAGGGTAGGTATGTTAGCATTGCTATTAGGCAACCCAGGCGCCTGACCTCCTGGCCATCTTCCAAGTCCCTGCCATACCACAAGGTTACGTTTAAAAGATTTAGCCACTGCAGGGGAGGGAAATGCACTGGACTATGGTGATGGTACATGGGTGATGTGGTGGTGGGAAACCCAAGGGGATTGTAACTGAGATGGAAAAATGCACAAAAATATGTAAAAATAAACTAATATAAATTTTTTAACAATCTAAAAAAAAAAAAAAAGATTTAGCCACTGGAATGGCAAGGGCCCGACCAGCCAGATAGACGACAGCCTTGGCAATGAAGTAACCCCGTGAACAACCTGTTTGCCAGGTCTTAAACTCTTAGTCTGCAGCTCATGGGGAGTCCAAGGAGTCTTGGTGGAGGGGGCAAGGAGCATGTTTCTGTGCTCAGGGCTCAAGTCTGTGGCTTTTTACCAAATGCTGCAAACACAGACTACATTTTAACCCCTGGGGGCTGCACCAGTACATACTGACTGAACACCAAAGTGGCTGAAATACTTTGCCCAGGAAGATCCCCAAGGAGGATGTTTATGATGCTTTTATTGATGGGCACAATTTGTGAAGAGAAATCACGTGACTTGAGGCTATTCTCAATGGAAAGGAGTAGGAGAGAGCACTCAGGACACCACAGGCCATAGGAGCCTGACTACAGCTTGTCTGAATGGCGTTCCAGGGGGCACAGGGCCCTGTCTAGGGGGCCCCTGGCTCTCATGCCTCGTTTCGCTCCACTTGGCTGACCTTTGGGTCACTATGACTTTTTCTACACAGGAATCCCTTAGTATTTTATGTCTCTCCAAAGAAATTTTAGATGTCGGACTGACTTTATCTGTCCGGTGACTATTGGCCTGGAAGCCCTGCCTCAGTTGAACGTTACTGATCCACAGCCCATATTGTCGAGCTCTGCCTGTGCAGAAAGTCAGCAGATCATAAAAGTCAGCATGGAGCCATGGGGAAGGCTTAATTCCAGCAATGAAACAGATGTTCTGTACATCACTGACAAGCTACAAAAACCCACAGCCCATCTGCTCTGACAGCCCTTGGTCACCCATTTGTACCAAAGTTGCAATGAGCTTAGAATAGTAAGGGTCAGGGGATTAAGAGAATTTCAGCAGGGAAGAACAATATTCCATTATAGAATATAACAATCGAGTTTTCCATTATTCTTGAAGTTTCTGCTGCTTGATTTCTCTGCATGGTCTGTAGTGGGAGAGAAGTCCAGCTGCTTGATGAGGCAGGGAGAACTCATAGGAGAGGATAAGGTAGTCATTTTTGAAATTTCAAGATCCATTGATGGCTCCTCTGAACAGGAACCTGGTTGTTCTCCTACATTGTCATTGTCAAGAACTCAGGAACTCACTGGCAACGTGACTCCCTCCCTCTTGTCATCTAATACCATTTCTTGGTATCTTTTTACTTTTTGGAAAGTAACTCCTAATCACAGCTTGGAGTGGGGCCAGGGAAAGAGTTCTAAATGCAGTTTGGGTGATGTGTTCAAGTCCTGTGGCAACTCTTAACCATAACAGGATAAAAAGAGGCCTGAAACTTACCAAAGAATTTCTGTCTCCTGGAAGCTGTCTGAATGAAGTGGGTTGGTGGCAGGCCCAGCACCTT